AGCACAAGTAATAAAGAAAGTAGTATAATAGAAACGATGGTCGTTAATAACCACAATAGTTGATGCGACCTTAAAAATGATTTTAAAAAAACATATTCCTTCCTTTTTCTATAAGGGTCATTCGGTGTTGGAAGATATTAATATTGGAAATTTGGTACAAACGAATTTCGGCGTATGATAAATTGCAGATGTATGTAACGGACGAATAGAATGGCGCAGTTTTATTCAACGGCACGCATATCCTAGGGATACAATCCCTGCATAACGTGGCGTTCCTAGAACGTGATATCGCTTTAATATGGTTACAGAAATATGGAAATTCCGGAATTTCACAGTATTTTCAGTAGAAGATGTAGAATGTATATACAGGGTGTCATGTAACTGGTGGTTCCATTGTATAGGGGTTGATTTTGTGTCAAAAAATAAGTAAAAAATATATAATAAGATTTGTTCATATGAGGCTTTGTTTTTGAGAAAATCGACTTTCAATATTCTCTACGCGTGCACTTGATCATATCTCGTTATTGAATCTCACTGTAAATCATTGTCGCAATTGAAGAGTAAGTAGATAAATTAAATGGACGGTTTTTTGGGGGAAGTCGAAGTTTGGAAATAAGGATACTGTTAAAAATGATGTAAAATGTTAAAGTTCTGTAGTGAATAAAATCATGCTGAGATGTGATAAGAAAATAAACATAATCTTATTTTTATTAGATTGTAGGAGACCTGTTCAGAGTTTATTAAAATTGTATAAGAAATTATTTCAATTAAATTCAATCAGCTTAATATAACTTTTGGAAGCAAAAGGTACGTATTCTCTTAGTTGCTGAATAATTTCAAATATTTGTACATTTGATACGTGTACAAAATCAAGAAACGTGGATTTATTGTAAAAACGAGAAACAGTGCATCCATAAAATTTCATGTATTTCAATTTTGTACTCTAATAAAATTCTGCTGCATTTGTGGGTATTGTATGGAGTTCATTTTTTCTCTATCTACGTAAAAATTGTATTTGTCTTCTAACAAATCAAAGCTCAAAATAATTTAAATAAACTGAATCGCAGAATGTTACAATGCTGAAAATATTGATCTGCGGATAAAATATTTCCACGCTACGGGCCGAGTATAAGTTTTATCTTTGGAATACCTAATTGTTACTTATGAAGCAGCGGAAATTGAAAAGTTTTCCCCAATAAGCTAGAGAATTGATAATTAATTAACAAATTATTTAAACAATTTTAATAATTATATTGTTATGAAATTTATTTATCGATAATTGTAGTGTTGTTAAGGAAATATTTGTATCATTTCTTTATTTATTACTATATTATTACATTATTCTATTCAAATTTCACATTAATTGCTCTTACGTATCTCTTACATCACTTAGTTCAAACGTTACATAAAAATGTTACATTTTTCGATCCTGACCATGATGTAGCGAGACACTCGCAGTTCGTCAAGGATTACGCGGAAACGAGGATGTTAAAGTTTTAATCCTTGTCACGCGCTGAATCGTGAATTACTTACACAGGAAACTTTAATTATGTACAAAATAGTCGTTGGTTTGAATTTATCAATATTACCTAATATATTGATAAAAAACTATATATCTTTAACGATGATACTGTGCGACCCAATTTCGACAAACTGACTTATCACCGTAGAACGAACAGTAACGCAGGCAAAGTTCAAAAAAGTTGAAAACGTTTCCTTTGTAGAATAATTTGATCTCGCCAATTCATACAATTTCCAGCTTTTCGCAATTCAAAGGAACAATTGGTTCTTAAGTTTGAAATATTCTTTTACAGAATTTGAGCCATTATTACATTTAAATATCAGAACCATCAGCGCAAGAATAAATGTTGGACAGAAATATAACTTGAAGAAAGTAATTTACAAAAGTTATTGTGAAACCTACAATAAGTTTTTCATAGAGTATAGTTACGAATTAAAGAAACCCTATATTTCTCTTGTTTATATAATAGTCTCACCCGCATATGTTTTAACGTAAAATTATATTCAAAATTGAACGAATTTAACGAACCGTAGTCATATACAATTAAACTGGGCTACATATAAATTATATGAAACTAATTAAAACATTTCCATAATAAAACAAAATTTATAAAAGTTATTCACTATCAATTAGAATAATTCGAACAATGCATAACGCTTAATTGCAATGAATTTCGATAAGAGGACTATAAGACATATTGAAACAATGCATTACGAACATTGCAACTCCGTTTAAATGAATGGCAAGTTGCAAAACCGAGGGCAACAATTTCCAAGCGCGAACTCACGGTACTCTCTATGCAGAATGGAACCGCGATGTCTTCGAAACCGCACCGGGTGCAACAATCACGAAGCATAATACTCGCTGCCTTTCATTCCGTCTAAGCACCTACACCCGCTGCAGATCGCTCTTTCGCGAGCAGGAAAACCGGTAACAAAGCGGGACAAAAATCGTGGAGGGTAGCTGACGGTGAAGCAAGGGGGAAAGGGGTGGCTGGTTGATCCGAGCGTCAAGTTTTCGTCGGAGCGGAACGCTCCGCGGAAAGAAAACCACGCTGACGTCGATGAGTCGCTGGACATTTAGTTCTTTTGAAATGAAAAGAAAATGCAAATTGCACTGCACAATTGAAAATTGTTGCGGGAATATTTTGTGCGTTCGTGAAACGAAGAAACAGGGAGGAACTGATGAAAAATAAAAAAGGGTAAACAGATCCTGAATACAAATATAGAATGAACAAATTTAAACAAATATAATACACGTTTTCTATTATTATATTTTAAATAAAACTTTAACTTCGAATAAAACAAATATAAATAATGAATAAATGAAGCTAGTGATCGAGATTATTCACTGCAAATCCGAATTCGCGAAGCCTAACAAAGGAATAACTCACGCAGATTTCTATTACGTTGAGAATGAAAGGAAATTTGTATTCAACTTTAATCGAAAAGAATGAATGTTCGTTTCTATCTCATTTCTGCGAATTTTCCGAGCCATGATTACTCACTTAATGAACATTTCATTTGAATTTCCCGCAACGGAAATAAGTCCTCATGAATTTCATTAATTACCGACTGTGTGCGCGCCAAGATTTTCAGCGAAACATAATATGACAAATAACGAAATAAATTGATGAATGTAGAATATACAATCCGTCGTACAATTTTTGATAGGATATTATAGTAACGAACTAAAGAGAATTAAGGGCAAATGGTGAGATAAGGACACAACAATTATATGATACGAAACTCCTTAATACTATTCCTACCGACACTTCACGTATACTTATTCCTACCGCGAGCAGTCAAATGACTGGTCTTTAGCACAACTTATATTTTTTAGTATAGAACGATGATAATAGTCAATTTGACAGTATACAATTATAGTTTCTTTTAATTAGAAGTATATAATTTTCATTTTATTCGTTTTCACCGCATTTTTTACAAATAGGTTTGTTGATTGTACATTTCCAACGCAGGTACTTTTTATATTTTAGACAGATTTTGTTAGTCTTATTGTTTGTGCAATATCTTATTTGGCATGGTTTCCGTTCGTGTGAAACTGTACTTGTATTTGTGACGAGTGTTGCTTGATTTTCTTTGCCTAACTCTAGTTCTTTTTGATATTCAATGGCAAGTTCTTCTGCCAATTGAAATAAAAATTCCTGCCTCGAAATTTCTTCTCCCGTGGATTCTTTATAAAATCCATGCATTTATCCCAGCTAAATCTAGGATATTGAAAAATACCTGTAAAGGCTATCTCCGACATTTAGATTTTACCGATTTTACCGAGGCCGATAGGCGAGCGAGAACTGTAAACACTTGGAAGTACCGTAAAGCAGTCCCTCAAAGGCACTTTTTAGCTAAAATCATGCCACAACTGCATTACCTTTCGTTTATAACCACCTTATAGTTTCGGAATTGAGTCCTTGAGAGAATACTATTACAAAAACATATAAATCGTTCTACCGATCAAATGACCGATCGTGGTAGGTAAGACAGACTACAAATTTTTCTCAGAAAATAAACAATACAAAAAGGAGTGGATATTGAAAAATGTTTTATACATATATTTTGGAAAAAGTCGTGAAGTATAAAGGCGATTCAATTACGTTGTCTATAGGAAATTCTAATCGAAATTTTAAAAACAGTCATTTGACTGCTCGCGGTAGGAATAGTGTTAATAAATATCTATATCGTATAAAATAATAAAAATGAACATAACTACACAAAATATCCTTTTTAAATCACTTAGAATAGAAAAACATTATTCTCGACTTTTTGAACGAAGAGAAGATTCGTCCCTTGTACCATTTAACCCAAGAAAATTTATCAACAATTTTTATTAAATATCAAACTGCATCCACACTGATCCTTCACATTACTTTACGATGCCCGCTGCCAAACATACCAAAAGTTACAAAATATTCGTTAAACGGCTAAAAATACTCATCCACCCAGATATCAATTTCACCGTCCATCACCGACTTAACGTTCCCTCGTTCTCCAACCCGAGCATCCGGTACCCCAAAAACCATCGCAGCGATCGTTCAGCGTTCCCCGAATCTCCCCGTCAGACCTCCCTGAAAACAATGCTCCAAAAAGACGCTCGACTAGCAAGCAAAGAAAAAGCTTGCAAAGAAAAACGAAGCCCAACGGAAGAAAAAAAAGTACAAGAAAGACGGGGAAGAAGCAGAAGGAAGCACAGGAAACGAAACAAAAGTATAACGCATCAGGAACATCTCCGAATGGTGGATGCGTGCGACGGCCGCGCAGCGTACGTCCTCCCTTTCATTCTTCGTGGCACCTGCAGCTACCCTTTCCAACCCCTACGACACGACCAGCCAGCGATAGAGGGAGATGGGTGATGTTAAATGGCGAGAGGGAGGAGGATCGTGGCGGGTACGCGAGGAGAGGGTCGGGACGCATGCGCGGCTGTACTCGCGGGGGTTCTCCGGCACGATCAGTCGTGGCCGGCGGTGCCGGAGGCCACAGACTTTCGCGAAGGTGGACGCACCGAGCGTTTTCCGCCGGACTCCTTTTTGATCACCGCCGCCGCGTGCGCTTTCGCGGTCGGCTGCGCCGTCGTCGACGTCGGACGTGACCGCGGCGACCGTCTCCACCGCTGCCTGACACGGTCAGATCGCTCGGCCGGTGATCATCGTCAACCACGGTGACCATTGTCGCGTGTCCGACACCGAAACCGCGAGCGGATCGGAGGAACCGTGACCAGCGACAACCGAAGAACCGGCGCGCCATCGGTCGACGACCGACAGCCGGCTTTCTCTGCACGCCACGCTTCCTTCCGTCTACGCCGGCCGCGAGGTTGACCCAGGTCCAAGGACAAGATCGAACGATGCTGGCTCGATGCCTAATTTTCGTCGGTAAGTCTGTACGCTCTCTCTCCCCCTTTCGGTGTCTTCATTCTTTCAGCGACACCCCCCGAGACTTTCACGTCCGGCGACAGGAAACGATCGGATGGAGAGATTCTTCATAGTTCAAAGGACCAACGAGGATCCTCGGGATCCGAGTCCGAGGAATAACGGTCGAATGCATGTGACGGGTACATTAAATCCCGGTGGAGCGTTTCGAGGTCGGTTCCGAGGGTTTCTCGTGGATGCGACGGATGAATGGCTGGAGAACGGTTTATTTTCGAGATTTTCTTGGATCACGCTGCTTGAGGACTCTTCTCCTGTGGCCCGCATAGTGACGGTTTCGTGAATGTTTAGAGACTGCGGAAGTTTCTGTTTGTATCTTGCGTGATGTTTACCCTTTGCACTTCGATGCGTTCGTTGAAATTGTTTCGGAAGGTACGAACCGTTCTAAAGTGTAAATATAGAAGAATGCGGAACGGAGTGGAAGCTAATGGTTCTTAGATATAATGAACGAGCGGATGCAAATTTGGTCTGGAGAATTGTGTGTTTGGTTACGGAGTTGCCACGGGGAAATGTAAAAGTCGTTAAAATGCAAGTTTCGAAGTGGAAAAGGTTAACGTATCCTCGGGAAGTTGCTTCGTAGGTTGCTAGATAACTGGCGAACACGTGACCCGCTCGTGTAAATCGAATTTGTGGGGACGAGAATGGCGTGTAGTTGAGTTTCTTTGTCATTGAAAGGAGCCGCGGACTCGACTCGCTGATTCCTCGTGTTACTAGGTAGCACGGACGTTCCCTTTAGACGCTGTGAGTGATTCATGCGTGAAAACACGGTTCGTGCCGACCCTCGCGATACACACGATGCATACATACGTGACACGATTCATCCCGATCTCGTTTGATCCGCGCCCCGTGTTCGATTCGGACGTGACTTACGAGCACAATGGTTCTCGAGGCTGTTGAAAGTCGGCTGGCTGAGATTGTTATGAATGTAACAGCGTGTACGGTCAGTTGAACAGCACGATCGTTGTAAATAGCGTATTCGGGAGGGACTGGAAAATATTCATTTTGTTTGTGTATACGATAGGAACATCATTGGGAACTTGTTTGGAAAGTTTGTTTACACTAGATTTACAAATATTGTACATTTTACTGAATTGTTTCTAGAAACCTGTGGTCTACATTTATATTGACTTGAAAATTGAAGTTTGAAGAATAGTAAACTAGGATATGCATTCCTATAATTGCATCAACTAAAATTTACTTCAAATTTTATTGAATAATATTTTTCAAATGATAATTGTGGTAAAATGAGTTTTCTTATTGTGCTGTTGGTGCTATATTTTAGTTACGCGTCGCAAGATTTTGATTTATTTGACTGAACTTTATATCGAGTGATATGTAAATCATTGATTATAAATAGGAGGAGTGCGTTTAACCGGAAAATGTTTGCAACTTATTAGTTTGTAATTTAAGTAAGTTTGATAGAAAATTTTTAGAACTTTGTACAAGTATATAGAACAAATATTTTTTTTTATATGACAGACCAGAATTATTAGAATTCGTTTAAATTCGTTACAAAATATTATATTATATTTTCACGGAATACCGATGTATCTATTTTAATTGGTGCAGTTAATGGTTGGATTATATCAAGTTTGAAATTGAATCTCGGTCACAATCAATCGAACAATTAGTAATGTTCCATGCACAGGTATACATTGAAGCACGCAACAATTCTCCTTCTTTCATAGAATATTCTTCAGAAAATCCTCTCATAAAAAAGTCTCATTAAAAAGCACTCGTGTACAATTTATATTTAAAAGGATTTCCGTGTTTTTATTCTAGAGAACAGTTCGCCCCAGTTGACACCTTTATTTTGAATTTCATTGAAATAATATTTTTAAAGGGTGAAGCCTATTAATTAAAACCGGAGCTTTACTTTTTTCTCCATTTAATAAACATTTATACAACGTAATATTAATTTACTGGAAAAACTAAAATTCATTTGTGACAAGTGTGCAAGTGCACAAATATTATTTAAAAAATATCAAATAACTTACGATCATAAATACAAAATTGTTATTCTGAAAAATACCACTTAATTATTATATACAAAACTTGAAACAATATTGAATAGTATCGTTAGTGAAATTGAATAGAAAGTTGAATAGTATAGCTCGTATGCTCGATCCTAGTTCTGTATTTCAGTGTTCTGGGGTTCAAACTGGTACCACAAAATTTATAAACTACAATAGGAATGTATTCGTTAAAGTTAAAGTATAATAGAAACTGAAATTAACGTAATCAAAAGTCCTGCAGTACTATATCAGTGCAAAAATTTTGTTCTCAAATTGTAAAATATCAATGCATCTCATAATCAAATATTTCAAAAACCTTTGATTAAATATAAAATTTACAATAAAAGTTTCCAATATTATTGCATCACATTTATTTCCACACACAATAGACAACATTTTACTGTAAAAATATTTTCTCTGGCATTCTACAATCTTCTTCCATGTTTCATGTAAGAAACAGAATTCTTGTCGAAGGAATATCTTCCTTTTATAGGCGATCCATTATTTAATTCATCATTACTATTTGAAGCTCGCCAAAATGAACGTAATATAATGTAATCAATCTAAAACTCCAGTAATATTACGCAATCATAGTCATAAACTTTTAAACGCAAAGTCTGAAACTTCCATAAACTCGAATACCTCGGGTCCATCCCATCCAACTAATCACCCCAACACAATCTTCCCGCTCCACTATTCCCAAAAGACTTCCCCATAATTCCCGATCAAACCCCACAATCACCGTAACCGTATCAAGCGAATCTCGAAGGGTGGGTAGCCCAAGAAGAAAAAAGTCAAAGAACCAGCGTACCCCGTCCGCGAAATGGAAACGGGCCTCGCGTCAACGTCCACAAAGGGGGTGGATGCATCTTCTTATTTGTGTCCCGTAGAACAATACTTTTGTCTGGTCCAGGGAAAAGGCGACATCGCTCAGACAATGAAGAACGTCGATAATGATCGCGACGCATCTTAAGACCTCTCTCGTTAACGTTCAGCTGGTTCTTTCACTTCTTGTAGGAAGCTCTCTGTAGTTTCCTGAAGGAGCTTACCGCTCACCACTGCTACCCTCTAAACC